TAGCTTTGCAATGGCACCAACTGTCATGATACCTGTTTTTTTAAATTGTATTTTAAGAAGTACAGATAGTTGTTTGTCAATTTGAAAAAAAACATACAATAATATACCCCTGTTGTTACTTAAAATGCATTGAATTCCCATTAGCCTCTATATGGAATATATAGAGATTTTTCACATTCTTGATTCAAGTTTTATAAACTAAATGTTGTCCCAAGAGAATACATCCCCGAAAATATTTAACCTGCTTCCAATGGTTCCAGAACAGCAAAGACAATATCCTTAAATTTTCTCATTCTGTAGAAATGGCCTTAAGGATGCTTTATAATCAGTTTACCTCAGAGGCTTCTGGGTCAAGAGAACAGGGAAAGAGGAGGACAAGGTCACTAGCCAGAGCTCCCCATCCATCATGGTGGGGCCACTGGAACCAGAAGCTCTAAATATTCCTGCAAGTTTCAGAGGACACATTTATTCCCAGGAGGATACATTTCTCATGGCCCGTTTTTCTAAATTAGGAACTGATAATACCCCCAACATACTTGCCTTTTGCAGGTATGTGTGTCACAAAGTACAGATAATTTCTGCTGAACTGAACCCGTAATGAGGAATTTATAATCAGTTCTAATGTATTTGAAACCTAAAGTATATTAGTTCTTCATCAAACAGAATGATAAAAACAGCATTAATATGGGTGGATAGTAATTATTTCAGAGCTCATAATTATTCTCCAGTTAACTACAGAGAAATGCTGATATTTTTACTCCTTTTTTTAAAAAATAAAAGGCTCTGTGGTCAGATTCTGAAATGTAAGAATGCATCACACGTCCTTTGTTAAGACCTACACTTTGAGTTATGCTTGTGTTAATCACAAAGGAACTGGTTTGGAATTAAGTAAGTTCAAAGTTCATTGTTAGGAGCTCCCTTTACCTTGCTTAGTCCTGTTGTTTCACCACTGAATCTATTTATGGCCCGTAGGAGTTATAAAATATAGTAATTACTCTCACACCCTTTCACCGTGACAGGAGGTCTACTTTCCTATTAACTCTAATGAGAGTTATGTGTGTGTTCCTCAGGGCGGACAAGACCCAATGAAGTTTCAAGGTAGAATAAATCACTTCCACACTCCACTGTTGGTAGTCTCGTCTGCTTTCTACTTTGGTGCTCTAAGATACCCGTTTTAAACTGCTGCCATTGAAAATGCAGTATAAGTTGTTTAAAAGAAGCATACGCTGTGCTTGGAGTGTTGCTAATGATTGTTATTTTGTAATGATGTTTGAAAAATGAATGCCCCCTACCCTTGGGGGAAATGCTGTGGCTCAACTTACAGGAATGCGGGATTTCTAAAACGGGATTGTCTATTTTTCATAAAAACGAATGCCAATTACCTTTTACAGTATTTTCTTCTCATCTAAAGTGTTTTCGTGCTAGTGAGTACATTAATTGTAACCGTTTGGAGAAAAGAAAAAAGGAGCGGGAGTGGCCGGTGAGCTGGCAAAGGGGGCGCTCGCGGCTGCGGGCTGGTCTGTTTCGGGCGTGGGAGTCCTCGGTGCTTGAGACCGAGTCGGGATGTTTCCGTAATCCACCTTGCGCGCGTTTACTCACTGAGGCTTCGTTAGAGGAACTCGTGTTGGGTTCCTCAGTTCGCAACCCTGCCTCCTCTCCGATGTTTGTTCTCAGTTCCTTTAGGCCTAGAGACAAAGGAACCAACTCTGTTTTCTTCCTTCGGTTTTGCCCAAACCGATTACGAACCCTCTTTTTCCCAGGGAACCCTCCCAAATCAGATGTGTAAAAAATTCTTGATGTTAAGAAAACCCGGTTGTGCTGGAATCACTAAAGTGTTGTCCCAAGAGAATACACCCCCGAAAATATGTAACCTGCTTCCAATGGCTCCAGAAGAGCAAAGGCAATATCCAACACTAGTTCCTCTAACGAAGCCTAAGTGAGATCAACATAGGCAGGGTGGATTACCGAATCAGATCCCTACTCGGTCTCTGATGCACTTTGTACTTTGGGGACAATTTAATATCGTCTTATTAAGGTTGTATTTAGTATGAGTAAATAAAACTTGTTGGGAGAATTTGATTTAATTCTCCTCCAGGACAATGATATCCCCATGTATTTATGATGTTAAGACAATATTTACATGTTTCTAACTCTTCATTATCACGGTAAAAGACGTTCTATACAATGTATGCATGCAATCGGTATCCACATCAGTTAAGAGGCACTCAGCCTCCTGAATAAGAAAGGTAATAATAACAAATGCAGCAAAAGGCTGAGTCAATGAGCCTCCCACCCATGGAAAACTCTCTGTATATATACAGTATCATTTCCATGATTTCTCTACTTATGCCATCACATAGCAACTGAAAACTATGCCCCACATGCAAAGAAGCAGGAGATGTTTTTATAAAAATCCTCTTACTGTTGCATCTCATGTAGGCCCAAGAGCTAGCAATTCTGTATGCATGTAAAGTATCTAAAACCACTGACTCAGTGGCTATAGAGCCCGAATGATTTCCTGTAGAAATCATGTAAATTGCCTTGGGTACTCTGGGAAGGAAAAGAAACACTTCCATCTGAATTGTTCAAGAGGAATATCTTATAGCACCCCAAATAAAAAGAATGATTTAATTGTGATCAGTTTCACATGTGCCTCCAAATACTAGCGATTTAGCAAAAAATTTTTTAATGGTTTCTTAATATAGCCAAGAATTAAGCAAATAAAGTAATTTAACTAAAGTTGGAAAGTACATAGTTTTTGGCAGCAATAAATAAAACTGCACTTAATTTGTATTGCAACCAGTAAACAAATCCATAACTTCTGTATAGCATCCTGGAAAATAGAAATTTTTTTTTTTTGAGTTGGAGTCTCACTCGGTCGCTCAGACTGGAGTGCAGTGGCCGCTCCCGGCCACTGCAGCCTCGCCTGCTGGGCTCCTGCGATCCTTCCGCCTCAGCCCGGCTGATTTTTTTTTTTGATTTATTGTAGAGATGAGGTCTCGCTGCCCAGGTGGGTCTCGAACCCGCGGGCTCAGGAATCCACTCACCTCAGCCTCCCAAAGGCGCGGGATTACAGGCTGAGCCACCGAGCCCGGCTAGAAATATTTTTAAAATATTTGTTTTTGTTGCAGTCTTTAGGTAATTACAGAAAAATAAAGAACTTGACAATGTAATTATAATTGTTGAACTCTATGTTTTAAAACTGGAACTATCTCAAATATAGTATTCTGATTCAGCAGTTAAAATTTTTAATTTAAAAAATTCATATTTTTTAGAAATATAGTGGCATTGTTTTTGCATGGACATCAAGTAATCCTAAGGGTACTTTTGCATTTAAACATATTAAATATAGATTTCTATGAACTTGCCACTGAACGCTAGTTAAGTTATTGCTTTATCTAGGTTTTCTTTTAGTGAAATAATTCCTTGCAAGTGTGACTATGGAAGAATTGTATTGTGAAGGGTTCCCCTGTGTGTATCTGGAATGACCTTGAAACCATGACCTTGCATTTGAGGTAGTCAATGGGTCGCTTCAATTACATCATTATTTTCTGCTTTTCCAATCTTTTGATCTTTGCCAGTTATTACTATTTTTAACGGCTGTCTTTCCGCACTGATTAAACATAACTGTATTATATCTCATTTTTTCCTTCTGTTTTCTGGGATGGTGTTTTTCATTCTTTGAGAGATATGATAGTAGGTTTAGTTTTGTATTACAAATATAATTCACAGTAATCTCTGAGAAGACTTAGAGTCTTTCTCAAAATGTTTAACAATCCTTCCCTATGAAGTGTGCTTAGAGTTAATGCCTGCTTCTTTACTATTTATATTATTGAAAACAACATATGGCTTTCAGTTCCTTTTTTTTCCCTTCTTTTCTATGACTGTTACTTTATGCATGATAACATTTTCTTGCTTATTGCTATGTGGTTGGCTGTCTCTTGACTTGAGTGCCCTGTGTTTGTAGTGATTGCTTTTTGCATGAGGATTATGAAACGCCAGGCAAATTAAATGGTTGTGGAAACAAAAAAGATTGTGGGGCTTCACTTGCTTTTTTGTGTTGAGTACGTCAGTTATGTGACACTTAAAATTACTTTCATGTGGCCTCTGACTTCTTCTCTGGTGTACTCCTTTATTCTAGCAAATTAGCATTGTTAAGTATAATAAAGCAAGTATTAAACATTCATAGTGTTTTAATACAATTATTCTCCTAAGATATGATCCTATTATAAATAACTATACTGGGTGTGAAACTGCACTAAGGCATAATTCTATCATATTACTAAATTGATTATGAAATATAAGTCCTGACTCAGTAACGACAAACACTGACTGCTATCAATGACACCTTTGCTCTGCCGAATGATGGCATTATCTGGTGACACATTTGTGCAGACTGCCAATGTCTTAAATTCACAGCTAATATTTACATGGAGCGATGACAAGTAATTTTAAAAAGTCACAGTTTTGAAAAATATACGGATTACAAATGCATAAAAACCAACTGCTAATGTGCTTATTTTTTTAAAAAGGAAAAAAAGAAAAAGAACAACCTAAAAATGTTCATATCTCAATTTTCACTACTGTTATATTATCCCAAATTTAAAAATGAATTGACCTACTTTTTTTACTGTTCTCTCCAATTTAAATGAGAAAAGACTGAATAAATTAAGTACTTTCAGCTAATAAAACTGTTTACTTTTTTGTATGCAATGGATATTTTTAAAAAGTCATTTTCTTTGCTTATGACTTGCGTTTTAAACCATAATGTGCTTTTTATGCTGGATATATTTACAAATCAAATCTTCTATAAGATATTTTGGGGAAAGGGACTTTTTTTTTTTCTTAAACCAAGTAATCAGCTATGACATAACCACTTCCCCGCCCTTTTTGAAAGTATCCTCGAGAATTTTAGTATTTATATTTATTTTTTTCCCCTCAGTCTTGTTTATTCTTGAATTGTCTTTTTTTTCCCTCCGTTTCTCCATTCTCAATCCTAGGTCCCCTTACAAAGAAACAGACTGATGATTTAGGTGATAATGACGGTGCTGAAGATGAAGGTATTTTTTTCCACCAAATCTATTTGCATGACAAGGACCTCAATCACTTTTTCCACCCCTTTCTATTTTTTTACTTCTTGTCTTTTTTTGAAGAGTTTTTTTTTTTTAATTCCCGTTTTTGATGTGTTTTGTCTTCTTGCTTGTTGTTACATATAAATATACATTTTTAATTTTTTAAAAAGATAAATGTTAAGTTTTACATTTTGATGCCAACCATTAAAATGTTTTAAAAAGAGGGGCATTTTTTTTTTGTTTTCTTGAACTGACTTTTGATATGTTTCATCCCACGTTTTGACTGAAATTTGTCCACATTCTTTGAACTAACAATCTCTCCCTTATAGTCTCTGTGCCCATTCTGCATGTTTTCTAATCTATGTAAATACTGTACCCAATATCAAAATATGTTTCATTTTTACTTTTGATATTTGTTTAAAAAGAACCCCACACTCAATAAAATGAAGGACAAGCTAAAAGCTGATATAAAGTGTTTCTTGAGCAATGTATTTTAAATGAAAAAATACTGTTTTCTGTTGATTTTCTCAAATGTCACATAGATAAAATTAAATTGTACAGTTAAGAAAAGGCATTACAACTATTCAGATAACTGTAAACATTGTACAATCACTTAAGTACCTGGGTTCATAATAGTATTTTTGGTAGAGTTTATAGGTATTTTTAAAAAATAAGATTAAATGAATAGCTTTTCATTTCTAAGGGATAAATTCTAGATTGGCAAAAAAAGTACTTTGATCTTCAACATATTGCTAATTATAAGCAATAAAATATTTTCTACTTCACTAATAACAAAATTATTTTCTACTTCCAATTTTCTTATGACATATAATACTGATTTACTCCATAGGCTGGCATGGTGGCTCACAGCTGTAATCACAGCACTTTGGGAGGCCACAGTGGGAGGATCCCTTGGACACAGGAGTTCAAGACTAACCTGGGCAATATAATCAGACCTCATCTCTACAAAAAAACCAAAAAATTATCTGGGTCTGGTAGTGCATACTTGTACTCCCTGCTACTTGGGTGACTGAGGCAGAAGAATCACCTGACTTCAGGACGTCCAGGCTGTAGTGAGCTGTAATCATGCCACTGCACTCCAGACTAGGTGACAGAGTGAGATCCTGACTCAAACAATAATAACAATAATACTAATTTACTCTGTAAACCTAAGTATTCACTAGATTGACTTGACATTTCTCATTAATCTATACCTTTACTTGGTGTTAAATTGAGTGTCTAAAGAGGCCCATTGATTTTTTTTCAGGTTATCTTGATTCTATTCAGGGCCAGGACATATGTTTTTATTCTTTTTTCCCCCTTTCTTTAGTGCGATACTAGTAAAAACTCTAATAGGGGTAATTAATGCAATCGTAGCTTTAAAAATAATTACCAGAACCTAGAAATTAGATCTCATGAGATATTAAAGTATGATAAGAAAGGGTTTCCAAAACGAAATAATCCATAACTAGGCCTGCAGATATCTTTGTTCTATGAGTTACAAGGAAACTATAAATGAATGACTCTTTTCTAAATAATTGCATTGTTTTCATTGACATATTTAAAAACTCCTTCACAATAGAAAATTAAATTACAGAGGTAAAGTATTGAAAGCTTAAAAATTATATTTTGTGTTAATATTTTAATAACATTTAAGAATTATGCTGATTAAATGAAATTTATGACGTTTGATTAAATATTCATTTACCATGGACCTCAGCAGTAGATTAAAGATTAAACACAAAGCAGTCATTAATATTTGAAATAAATTATTATAGCTGCCCAAGAGTTATGATTTTGAATGCTAAATAGCTAAAAATAAACTAATAATATCAAAATGCAATTTTTTTTAACACTGTTGGAAATCTGATGCATTCAAACACTGAGAACATTTATTGACTTTGTAGGACATGAATTACTGTTCCCAAAGCTCTAAAGGAGATTGCTTCCACCTTCAGACTTTGGGAATTGTTGAACCCTTTGAAAATCCTTAACTCCTGGACATTTGTGATCTAAATATAACTTAAACCATACAGAACTTCTTAGTGTGTATCTTTGTAAATACCAAATTTTCCCAATGCAGTGACAAGACTCATATACGTTATTTTCCTATTTTAAAAATATTTTGATTGTTGATTTAATGTGATTTTTTTTATTTTGGTAAAACGGTACCAAGTAAAACATCTATCTATTTAGAATAGATGCCTCTAAGCAACCATGGTTAGCCATGTAAACTTGAGTCTATTTTATAGAACTGTTTTGAAACACATTTAACATTTTTAAATACCCATTTAAAACATCCTAAACCCCTACTTAACTGGCAGGTAGTATTCAGGTTATGCACTAAGCCATTCAGTCACAAGAGTTATCTGATCAATAAATATTTTTAAATACTCCACAGTATAGACTGTCAAAACAATCAGTTCCAATTCTGTCTATTCCTCTGTGTTGTTTTGGGTAATTTTTCTGAAGACAAGAAAGATACATTCAAATATTATATGGGAAATTAAAAAAAAAACAAAACTTTTTTCAAGTTTTTTTTTAAAATTAGAGTTTATTAGCAAGAAGAGAAGAAAAAAGGAAGATGCATGACAGAAAGACCTGCCACAGCAAGTTTCTCAAAAAGAAAAAAAACACCATAATTTTTTTTTTTTAAAGCATTTTTTCCCTCCCTTGGGGAGGTGAATCTTCTCTCTCTCTCATTTACTCTTTAAATAAAATCTATTTTCCAATCTAAGAATAAATAAATAAAAGCATTTTTAATTCACTTTCTTTTACAATTATTTTGTAGATGTGGTATGAATGAGAACTGTGCTCAATTTTTATATTTAACTTTTTTCAGTGTTGACTCAATATCACTAGACATAAAGCAACAAATATAAACTACTTGATAAACTACTCCATTTACTTCAGTCAGAAGTCAGGTTATTAGATAATTTATATGAAATTCTTCATTATCTTCCAATTTCCCTAAACTTTACCTGACTTCCAGATTTCTGTCTCAGCGACTGCATTCTGCAGCTACCTGCCACCTTGACCCGGGCTTGCCTCCCATTCACCTAACCTAATGGAACACTTCTGGGTGAAGTGCTAGTCTTCGCTGCTAATTCTTATTTGTGTCCTGCTATCACTTTTTTGCCATATTTAGATCAAACACAACTGTATCATTTATTTGTGTTTTGTAATAACCAAAATAACTATATATTTTATAGGCTTATTTCCACAGTTTAAAAAACGAGAGTAATCTGAAATGATAAAAATGGTTCAAAGCAATGTCCCAGATATCTACCAATTTACTTAAGAAACTTAAGAAGTATTAAACATTTTTGCAATTCTGCTAAAAATACTTTAATATAACATTTCAATATTTAAGTGCAATTTTATATTCTACCTACAGTTTTGTAAAAAATATTTTGTATATTTTAAGCTAAAAATGTGTCTTTAATTCTGTCAAGTACAGTTTAACAAGCACAAATTTAACCAATACTTTCATATTCTTTTGGTGATTCTGAGTAATAACTTTTAGGTTCATAAAAATGACCAGTAGGCACAAAAGTGTGTCTTGGAATGTATTTTCATATATAAGAGAAAGATTTAATTGAGTAAATGTTTTACAATTTTAAAACTGTTAAATCCTTCAAATTAAAATATGGACAATTAAACACTGCATGAGTCCTTTAAGAAGAAAGAAACCAGTAAACATATTTAAGGATCATATAACTAATGATTATTCAAGAAACCAATTCCAAACCTTGGTTGTCAGACAAAAATAAATCCCATTAACTGCTCTAGAGCTATTGACACTTGCTACATTGGCTTTAACTTTGTGTTTATCAGAAAGATATAGTAGTTACTAAAATTTAAAGTCAAGGTGTTTACTCAGATCCCAAGTTTTTGTTTGTTTGTTTGTTTTAACTTGAATAACTTAATTAAAATGCTTTCTTAAAAGTTTGGGAGGAAAACAATCAGTGTAGTATTTTCCTCTACCCCTTTTAGAGCCCTATGTGCTTAGCAAAGCTTAAGAATATTGCAAAACCAAAAAATATAAACATACTTGACAAAAATTTGTAATTTTACTGAAACCGAGCTAGTGTTTAAAGATGTCTGCGAGGGTTCTTATCATTTTAGTAAAGTTGGTAGTAACTATTTAAGCAAAGTAAAAAATCTTAGGTGGAAATCCACAGTTTACACTTTCTACCATATCTACAGGTGGTTTAGTAAGAGACAAGGTTGAGAGTGATGACTTGACTCTAAGAAATCTGTTATAAATTACTAAAGTGCATTTGATATGTTTCCACTGAAGATAAACGCCTCTCCCAATATAATAATAATAGTTATTATTATTATGGCATTAGTAGATAGCATTTAACAGTAGGCTACTGATACATTGGTATTATATATAAAGATTCTGGTTTTTTTTAAAAAGCAAAGTAGTTATAATTTAGACTATTTATATTTACTATCAACATAAAAAAGACCTGTAAACTTTACATAAAAGTGAAGCCTAAAGTAGAAATCTGTGATAAAACACTTAAATAGAAAACCTGAGATGGACTACTCTGACACTACACTATCATAGTATTACAATATTTGTGTAATAGAAAATCTCTAAAGTTTCTACAGTTTCTCAAACTTTGCTAGAAATATTAAGAATTGTTATGTTCAAGATTTTACCTAATTTAGTAATTAATATTTTTGTAACATACATCTCAGGCTTACTTCAAGTGAAAATAAATATTCGTTGGAGCACATTATAATTTTGTAGAACTTTCTAGAAAACAACTGGTCAATATTTAAGTTCTTAGGCAAGGCTGAGCTCTTTGAATAATTTGAGAAGACAAATTAGAAATTAGGATCGGCCCAGACCATCAGTAATTCTTTCAAGTCTAATTTTCAAAGAAAATACTGTTTGCCTGAGAATAATAGAGATACCCCTCAAAATAGCTCCTAGACACTGTCATATTTCCAGTGTTTCCTGACAATGTCCACTTCATCGTGTTATTAGTTATAAAGTGTGGCAGGCCTTCTCAATGTGTGCCTGTATTGTTTTCCAGGTGAACAGAATGGTTCTACCAAGATTTCATTACTGTTCACAGTTGGCGCTTTGTAATTCTATGTAATTTTAATTAAAGAAGAATTCTGAAACAGGCTCCCTCTGTGCTACCTCCAAGCATACAATTAGCAGAGTACAGTGTCTGCTGTGAACAGTCAGTTAATGATTTCAGTTTAATAATTTATTATTGCTTCTTCAGTGCCAGCCATACTAGAAAAATAAGAAGCTGAAACTGTATGTAGCAGACAGGCATTTAAGGTGCATAGTTTAATGATTTCAAAAAGGTTACTTTCTCTGTGTAAGTCTAACGTCTCCACAAGCCCTCAACTCTTTACAAATGAGTGAATACTATTTCCTCTCCCAAGGAGAAAATAAATGCAGGTTTAAATGTAGCTGTGTTTAGTGAATGGTTTCTATGTCAAAGCATTCTCCTTTCACTACTTAAAAACAAGACATTCTTCCCAATTTGTGGGGGCTGGCAGGAGTGGAAGAAGTTTATACACGTGTATTAAGTCAAATTTAAAACGGTATTTTTAAAAGTCTCTAAGTTCTGCCATAAACCATTTTCCTAACTTAAAAATCTGGACAAGCAAAATGAGCTGCAATTTCTAGTCCTAAAATGATTTTTCATTTAAAGAAATCACTTTATTATTACAGCAAAAAATCAAGAAATGTACGTCATTTTTTTTTCCAGAATCCTAAAACAATCTCTAAATAATCAACAAGTTTTTCAATGAGTTTATATCATTTGAGGTCATTCTGAAAGTTGGCACCTCAATTGTAAAGATGTAAAAGAGTTAAGTTTGATTTTTTAAAAATGTCCAAAGCAAAGTAAATAACCAAACTATTAAATGACTCTTAAATATCGGCATTAAAAAAGATAATTCACTTGACATAATTGTGTTTTAATTGTAAGTATAAGAGATCATGGGCTGTTATATAACAGTAATGTTTTGTTTATGTATATTCATAATCATATATACACATACCTCTATTTAAAACTATATAATATGTAGTTAAAACCAAGTGTGCTGGTATAGTTTAATTTTTTTCCCATAGAAATCAGTGCATTTTAATACTTCTTAAAATGATCTCATGTTTCTTTTATAAATTATTTTTATATCCTTGTTGAAAAGTATGTATCTTAGAAAAGCAAATATATCTGACTAAAATTCACAACTATAAAAATTACCTTACCATCACCCTAAATGTTGGCACTTAAACTTGAATTTAGCACTATCCTGTCTCATGTCTACATGATAAAAACGTAAAGTGGGGATAAGGAGCGTATATTAGCTACCCGAAAAGGTGAAAAAATCGAATTTTGTTTGTTCTTTTCTTCCAAAGAGCAAGGATAGGTGGAATGAGCGGATCCCCTTGAATTTCTAAAAACATATAATGCAAATAACATTCCCCCAAATGCAACAAGAGGAGCACAGATGCACACGGCTTTGCTTCCCAAACATTTATCGGCGTTACTGAAGTAGTGAAATGAAGTTTCTTACAATGTATCCCACAATATCGCAGTTATGTTCACAAGCTGGAGCATAAGTGAGTTGATGTAATCATACTGCATTTAAAACAAAGTTTTACAGTAAATAAGAAATTTAAAAAAGTAGATTGTTTAACCCACAATAGCAATAATACCATTGTCCTTAGTTTAAATTTCATGTAAGGTCTATAACTAATTTTTAAAAGTAGTCATAAAAGTCATTGTCTATTTTTTTACTACCACATCAAAATACTCTAAAATTCACACATAATTTCAATTTGTCTGTTTTACAATTCAGCTTGTAATTTGTAGACAAAATTTTAGATAGAAAACAATAAATGCTAATTGCTCTTTCCCACAATAGCTCTTAATATGCGTTGCTTAAGAAACACTTTAATAAAAACAGCAATTTAAAGAACTATTTTAAATCATGCCCTCTTTTCCCTAAAATGGAAAATGTATTCTCTGATTCATTGTGTATGTTTTTTGAGGATAAGTACAATTGCCAATCATTTGTTTTCCAGATATTCGGGACAGTGGGGGTCCCAAACCAGTGATGGTGTATATCCATGGTGGCTCATATATGGAAGGTACTGGAAATTTATATGATGGGAGTGTCTTGGCAAGCTATGGCAATGTGATCGTCATCACAGTCAACTATCGACTTGGGGTACTTGGTAAGAAGTCTGTTTTTCTGTTTTTCACCATTGACCCATAAAGTGTGTGATAGTTTTGTTTTGACTTGTTTTGTTCTGCTCTGCTTTGTTTCACTCATTTCTCTATGCTCGTTGACTTTTTCCGAACCAGATTTTTTCAATAAATTCTATAGATGTTCATAAATTACTTGACAAAGTTCAGCTAGTATCGGTTTTAAGATGTGAAACTAAAAGGTCATGAAATTATTGACATTATCATGGACTGTTCTTCCTGGTTTTGTTTTATAAAACTGTGAAAGGCAACTATGGCAGGGCCTTACTAAAGAAGAGTTAGTCTCTGGACAAATTTTTCCTTCTACTTTTCTTTTTTACAATGCTATAAAATTGCCTGAGGTTTGCCGTGAGCTTAGAAACAAGTTTATATTCTCTTCTAGAAAATGTGTATGGACTGGCTTTGAGAAACTATTGTTTGCCATTGTGTTAGAAGTATTTGGGTTTGTTTATTTGTTTGGTTCATTCCATAATAGTTAAGGATATTTTCTCTGAATGTATTGTGATTGAATTATTTAGTTTGAAAAAACATGCAATGATTTTATGAAATGTCAAATAATATATACTCTTCCCAAAATAATTATGAAATAAAGTCAAAGTGGAGAGTCTTGGTTTTTAAGAAAATTATAGAGAAATATTATTTGGAAATAAATTATCAGCGCTCTGAGACAGGCATGTTATAACAATTCTTTAAAAGATAAACTTGCTATTCTAGTATAAATTTGTTACAGTATTATGACAATTTGGTGAGTAAGATAACTATATCACTTAATAAAACAACTGTATCTGTGGAATATTTAGTTAACAGAATTTGCTAGGAGAGCACCATTCGTTCACTAAAGATTTCATTTTTTAAACTAAATTGTTCTCAAAGTTTTATTTTATAGACTTGGAAAGGCATAAGTTATTTTGATTTGACAAAAGAGGAGCTTCACACTTTCATTTTTTTACTCAAAAACATTTTGAAATAATATTTGAATTATGTCCCTTTTTATAATAATTGTTTATTTCATGTATTTTATCCATGCTGATAATCACGTTTTTTTTTCCTTCAGTGTTAGTTATTATTCCAAGTCCTGGGTAATCATAATTCTGTTTATGCTTATCACAAAATATTTTAAAAGTTAGAAAAATTTTTGTTAGTTAAGTTGATATGTCTGGGAGAAAGAGACATTTTACCAATCTGAAAGTTAAGTCTAGATTATTTTCTAGTGTGCTGATTTGGAGTTTGAAGTATAATGGACGATGTAATAGGCTTACTGCAACAGTGTAGTTTTAAAATATTTCTGTAGCATTGATCACTTACATATTAGCTCCCCACAGTGTCTAATCTTTCATTGCTTCAGATCTCCCTATGTTTTCTGTGGGCGGTTATATGCTTTTATTTCACCCATGAAAACTCTGTCTATTGGAAGATATACACAGAATTGTTTGCAATAATTCTTAAATCTTAAAATCTTAGAATTCTTAAGTCTTGCTATCATTTGTTTCTTTTGGAATGTTTTAATGTGAGAGAGGGTCTTCAATTTTTAATACACTTAATTTTAATTACAGTATTGTTTATACCAGTTGTTTTTAGTGATCATTATTCTCATACTTTTCTAATTTCCAAGGTTGAAAATCCTGAGCAGTGATCAGTTTGCAAATTGAAAATTTTAAATGATATGCTAAAGTATGGTAACAGTGTGTATAAAGACTTGAACATCCAGTTAGTCATATGTATTTATTTTATTAAAGAAAACATTTGGCCACACATAATGTTGCCTCTTTCTGTTGCTGGTGATACTTACATAAAGCAATAATCTGTAAAATGAATTTTGTTGTTACATTAATATAAGCTTCAGCCATTTGTTTTGTTTTGTTTTTATATATTTAGAACTGTAAGGACTTGACTTTACCCCAATTATAGTTCAGCATGCCCATATCTTGCCTTTAAATGCCACATTGTGAAGGATTTGATTGCAGGGCAATAGATTAACCAGCAACAATGTTAAGAACCCAATCGATTGCTTGGTCTGTATAAATGGGAGATGGTGTTGGTGTGGATGAAGGACGCTCTTCCCAGTGTTAAATATTTGTTCTGGCTCTACTGCAATCTAGGACTTAACCTTCAGTTTCCTTTTAATTCCTCCTGAACACAACATACACTAATAATCAATACAATACTGTCCTTTTCAGACCTCCTCTCAACATGACAAAGTACGAACGTCTGTTAGTGAAATATTTTTTAGTTCTTTATTAGGACATTGGTTCCAGGGCAGGTGTATTGTGGTGATTTTTTCCCTAAAATATGTGTTGGGTCTTGGGAAAATGTATTTAAATGATTTAATTCATGTAAAAGAAATTATCAGAACATTTGTTTCAGCACACTTTGCAAGTGTTATGCATCACAGCCAAATCAACAGCTCATCTGACAGAACTACAACAATAAAGACTGTAGAGTTTTGGTTATTGTTATGAATAATATATCTAACAGTAACAAGGTAAGCCAAACTTTCTTGGGTGTAAGCTCTAAGGTGTCTACTGTGTACTTGAGTGAGTGAAATTAAGCAGGAAATAAAATTTGATTGCACACCAGAGGAAATCCTGAGCTGTGTTTTGATTGATGGGGTATTTTGGTGTAAAAGAAATGAATTTGGGAGTCCAAAGTACAAATAGACTAATTACAAGATTACCAATTTGAAAAAAAAAAAATCAGGATGTCTGGAACAGGTAATGTAATTTGTGTTCATTTGGATTTGCCATGCAGGGATCTTACAAGTTTTGTTTCTTGGTCTTTGTTTTTGTTCTTTGTTTTTTAGCAATGGTTAGGAATGTGATAATATTTCAGCTGTGAAATGCACATAGCTGTCTAACAACCAGAGTTCCAGTTTAAAGCATTTCATGTTTTTTTAAAAAAAGTTATAGATATATATATGTTCATTACAAAGGAGGAATACTGTAGCAGAAAACATACCTCGACCATTGCAGGTCAGAGTTTGTTCCTTTATCAGAACAATTTTGTGGTTTCTTTGGAGTGGTCAACATAGAGTCTCACTATAATTGTATTGTATATGATTTCCCCCGGAAATGCTATTGGTGGTGATAAGGAAAACTGCTAATAAGGTTGAACAAAATGCAGAGAACACGGAACTCTGCCTGCTGGCCTCACTTTACCAGTTTCGTCTTAGAGCTTCTGGTACCTCCTCTCACTTAGTCTCACACTGAACAGCTAACCTCGCTTTCACTTTTGACCTTGTCCTTAAACCCTTTTGAAGTAATCTTTCCATATTTGCTTTCTTCAGTGTCTATTACTTAATACGTTGTTGCATAATCTTTAAAATATATTTAAAATTATTGTTAGTAGAGTGTTTTTTTTATTTTAGCGTACATTAACTAAAAATGATCATCTTGAAAGTGCAGAGATGCTTTGTGTTCTTAAAAGAGGAGCATAATCAATATTAAATGTTCTGATAGTAAACATGTGTTCTCATGAACAAGAATTGGAGGAGATTTCAAAATGCATCATTCACTGTTATGATGAGATAGTGTGCACGAAACATTTTTGGAAATGGAAATTATTCAAATGATGAGTTTACAAATCTCAAAAAATACATTAAGTAATTTATTATTAAAATGTGCTTCAATCACCTCTTTAAATTTAGAATAAATTTATAAGTTGTTTTTAGAATAAAAGGAAAAATTTTAATACCACTGTGAGGATCTAACTTGGGCAAACATAAGATTTTTATCTGATAGAAGTTTAATATGCTACCTAATATGAACATCTTGGAGACAATTATTCAATTCATAATGCAATTTATTTTTAGAAAAAGATGTGTTTTGAATATTTCAGAAGTATTGATATTGATCTGGAAATTTGGCAAATTAATGGGAAATGATTTAATTAAATATTTTACCTAGTAATCTAATGTCTACATCACCCATCCATGGAAAAATAATTGAAGGTGCTAGCCCATCTACTTGTATTCAAAGAACTATATTAAGTTTACCTTATAATTTCATGTGGGGGTAAACCATTTAAAACAAGTTTTCGGTAACTCCATTGCATATGAATTTTAATGAACACCTAAATTTATTTTTATTCTATTAGACATGGTTAATGAGATTTGTTGATTCTTAAAACTAGATTATCTATGCAATAATAATGCTTCAAGTACATCAGACAAATGACAAATATAAATATAACTTTAGTGTGGCCAGTCACCCAATCGATAGCACTTGTTGTCAGCATTATACATCTCCTCTGAGGGATAATAAGTAAGGACAATATAGTTTTTTTTTAAAGAGCTTTCAATCTAATTGAGAAGAGAAATAGTCAGTAGAGAATAATAATTGATATTCTACTTTATATTTTATAATAATGTGTCTATTATTGATCTATGTGAGTAGTTACTTGATATATAAAAAGAAAAACCAGAATAACAAAAAAGAAAGGAAGCCTAGGATAACAGATGTATCAATTAGAACATAGTAACTGATATTTATATTTGAATCTGACCAGCCTATGAGCAAGATTTGCTAGAACCTACGAAATGCTCACAATTCTTTTTAAAAAGGATATTAATTACTCAAGTGGTATAATGTTTTGTCATTGTTTTTCTTGTTTATTGCATTGTTTTTGTTTCTTTCTGTCTGGCTCTAAAAACAAAAGCAAAAAGTACCAAATTTAAAACCAAGCTAATAGAAACTTCAAATGTGACCTTATGTTTAAGAGCAATATATAAACAAATAGTAAACATTATATGGTAATAATGTTCTACTAAACATCTAAAAATGTTCTTGGGAGTTGGAAAGAAAGGGAGTCAGTCTTTCCTTAGAGTTCAAAATGTCTTCATGGAATTAGTAGTGCTTGAGGAAGACCGTGAAAAGTGGATACACTCGAGATTAACTGAAGGAAAGGGAGAAGGACATTCTTAACTTTGTTTTTACTTATTCCAACTAATTTCCAAAAATAGAAGTAGTTAGTG